CTTTTCGCTAGACACTAATCATAGCAGAACCATCTGGAAAATGATCTATAGGAAATAGTACAGCTTACAAAACTCAGCTAACAGATTTTTCCGCATATAAAAGCTATTTCAAGTTTTGTACACCAAAAAACTTTTCAAGAGTAAAAGTTACTCAAATATTTGAATGACTTTTTAAGTTGGTTCTTTCACTTTTTAAAATTACGTAATAATAAAGTAAAAGCTAAAACTAAGGTAAAGAAGCTCAACTAAATTTAATCATTTCTTACCTTGTTACTGATTGCTTCTGTCAACAATAAATATAGTGAGATAACTCATTATTGAAAATATAAATTTTTACCATAGAAGTAAAGTACTAGGTCGGTATCATTTTTTAATCTAATCAAAGTACCAGTAATTCAGTACTTCAATAGATTAGCAGGTATTAGCCACATAATTGTATTGATTCATATTGCTCTGTAACTTCTAGAAACTTGGTCTGGTTTGAATTGAATATAGGCATATGGTATGACATGATGACTAGAAAAACATTGAGTGTGAAATTCTCTTTGGAACATTGTTAAAAATAATGATTATAATTGCTACAGACTTTAAAAACAACAAGAACAATTTTGTTTTACAGATTTCATTTGTGTTTTGATTGTTTCCAATACAAGCAACTAAGGAAAATATTTTTTGTTTGTTATGTTGTCTTTGGTATATAGATTAAAGTATCTGGAAATAGATTTTGAAAATTTACATTAAAGTTTGAAAATAGTTTACAGAAGGACAGTTTACATTTGAAAATAGACTTCCTGACTTCAAGAAAGGAACTGTATATTTTTATTTTGAAAATTCCATGAAATTATCATAAAAGGTCTAGAATGAATTTATATTTACCACTTTACTATATAATATATGGCTGTTTGATTAGCAGCATGCTCCTGCACATTTTTAGATTGAGTGTGAAAATATTGATGATTAAAACTAGTACTCTTTCCAGTAAGTATCAGCGACTGTAGTAAGTCCTTACCTTCTTATAACACTTAAATATTCAGAATTCAAAGCATTACCTTTAAGTTGCTCTTTAATCAGTATGACATACTGAAATATTAATATCCAGCACTATTTAAAGATAAAAGAATACTAAATTACATCACCACATTACACAATGAACATCTTTGTACAATCTATGCAACTATGGAAAGTTATCTTAAGTTTTGGATTTTATTTTTTAGATTCATACACGGTCAATAAGATAGGGTAATAGCTGACTTTAGACTTTTATTTTGAATGTACTTGTAGATTTTTCTTCATTCCTGAATTTTTTCTTATTAAATGCCATAATCGTGGGAAAAAAAACTAAGTATTTAGCTTAATGTAAGAGTAGTTAGAATATTTTGTGTTCAGTTTCTTACATTTGCAGGTGAAACAGGAGAGAACCACCTATCAAAAGGACCCATGTCACCATCCTGCATGAATACGTCGGGAGAAGCCAAAACTCCGCCAACATCACCCATCAAGGACGAATCTGGGTTTACCCCAAATAAGGCCAACACAGAGGTTCCCCAGAATAAGCGTATACCATGTAAATGTGGTGTACCAAACTGTCGTAAATACCTCTTCTGAAAATAAAAATAGGAGCAGTCATGTCTGCTGTAGTTCAGAATTGACACAGTTCATAAACACTGAATATCAACATTCTGTCATTTCCATCCTAACATTTTGCATGGTCAGTAAATGAACTTGATATTCTAAAGTAGTGACAACCCATATGTACACATATTCATAAATTTGTCTTGATGTTATAGAAGCTCTATGATATGTAAAAATATAATAATAATTCCTAACAACAATATTATTTCAGTGTTTAAGCTGGAACTCGTGTTACAAGCATGCAAAATTATAATGAAATGAGTTAGTAAGTCAAAGATTTATTAGGTAAATACAGAACCAGTTGACAACACTGCACATTGAAATGAATCACGTCATAACTCTGAGACACTTTTAATTTTTAATTTTCTTTTAATTTTTGAGTGGTAACACACAAGCTATGTGTTTAAATGTTTAACAAGTATTCAATACACTTTAACTAAGAAAAGCATGATAAAAGTTATACTGTACATCAACATGAAACACAAAAACCCTTTTAAATTATAAACACCCTGTAGTTTTTTTTTTCATATAATGAATACTTAATGTTCATTTACAGTTATTCTTAAGCGATTTGGTCATTTTCATTACCACATCAGACACTATGTTTCATAGTAAGTTAGTTGAATGTTGAAAAATGTTAAATTGCAAAAAAATCAGAACTTCACAAATATTAAATATAGGTGGTTTTTTTTTATTAGTAGTAATTTTTCAATTAGGTGCAATTTTCAGTTGTGTATTTTTTTAAAAAAAAAGGTTAGCTTAATAAAAGTAATCTTACCCATTCAGTTTCCTTTTTAAAGCAAAAGTGTTTTGTAGTCTCTTTAAAAACATCCATTTCGGGCATGTCACCAAACTTGATGCCAAAGCTTATTGTTGTTTTTTTTCCACCCACTCCCATCTCCTGTAGTGACTTATTTAGCATATTATTATAATTTTCTTTTTCAAGGAACATAGCTAGTATCTTACAGTATTTTCTTTTTTCTGTGAACTGATTAAATATCTTTCAGTTCTCCCTCTCTTCCTAGAACTTTAATTAGTGTCTTATTACCCTTCCTCTATCCTGAAAAGTTAACTAATTTCTTACTATCCTTTCTTCTGGATACTTAACTTACTTTTTCTTCCTCTACAAGCATATTTGTTAATTTTCACCTTGATTTGTTTCCTGTTGGGAATTTAATTAGTATGTAGGTATCCTTTTCTCCATTTAAAATCTTGTATCCTCTGATCAATTCATTTCCTTATGAAGTTGTATTGCACCATCCTTCCTATCCCTTAATAGCTGGTATCCTTCCATCTTTCCCTTCCTTTGTGAATTTAAATTTTATCTTTTTTTCTTTCCTTTATAAAATTTTACTAGATATTTAATTTGTACTTTTAGATCAAAACTCATCATTTCTCTTAAGAACATGTATATCTTACTATCCTTTCCCTCACCATAGGACATAACTGGAATTTTACTATCACCTGTTAACTAGAAAATTCAATTAAATTATGTGTCTAAAGTTTCAGTTTTGTAGTAAACATTTAGTTCTTGTAGACATTGATAATAGCTACTAATTCTTATTGTTAAAATTATAGTAAAAGAAGCTAATTTCCTTAAAAATTAAGAGCTAAAAAAATTAAATGGTACTTTTTGGAAGTGTGTTTATTAAAGTAATGTGAACTTGTATTTGTTTTAAATGTTATTCAGTCAGACAATTTAACTTTTGTAATAGTAAATATCTGAAATTCAGAATCTTGGCTCAGTCAGGCAGTCTGTTGACACTCTTAATACTAAATATCTGGAAGCTTATTTTTGTCAAGCTGGTTAACACATCTGATATTAGTTCAGTTAGATTGTTTGTTTCTCTTATATGTTTGGAATTTTAGTTTTACTTTGTTGTTTTACAGTTCTCTCATTTATAACACCTGACATTTTAGTTCTGTTAAAAATGTGTTCAGTTGTTGACTCCTGAGGCTTGATATAGTCAAACTATTTATATGTTTTGGTCAAACATATGAACTTCTAGCTCACACTTTAGTCACATTGAACTGTAGTCTCTCACCAGTTGTAGTTTTTGGCAGTGTTTGGAACACAAGGTTCTGAGTGAAGCTTCATATCAGTTGTGCTATATATTACTAATCTTGTAACACTTTCTATGTTTTATTTCAAATATCAATCAAATATTGCTGAATTTTCACTTTTACACACTAAGTATCAATGCCTGAAATATTACTTGAAATAGTGTCTTGTTAATCAACTAGTATTGTCTTAAGTAGTTATTTTACATCAGATACCAATACTATATCCAAAATAGCTTGTCATACACACACACATCAAGAAATAGTGCCTAAAAAGCTGATCCAAAGTGTTATTTTATGCACCAGACCTGAAGTACTAGATTATCCTCAGTACTTTTTCACATGCCAAATACCAGTGCCTGAAATGATGCTTTCTCATTAGTGTTTTTTATTTTTCACACGTAAAGTACTGATGTGTAAAATATTAGCTCATTCATATTGTGTTTATACAAATAATTTTTTTCGTAGTAATTAAAAATGCATCAAGTCTAAAATTAGCTATATTATTTCTTAACCTACCAACAACTAAATTTTCCATTTTTTTTTTTTTTTTACTTTTCACATAAGGTAATGCAACTTCAATATAAAAGAGTATTTTAGCTGTGAAACATATATTGGTTTTTCTTTTCTCTGTGGTATCTTTTAAAAACAATATGTAAAGTAACATACAGTTTGTTACAGTCGGTGTAAATCAGATTTGGTACTTGGTATTGCTCCATGTTTATGTGTGAAATGATACTGTTCTGTTCAGGTAACATTTTGAACCAACGAAATGATTAATCCATTTATTTCAGTTACCACCACCTTTTTCTGACTTGAATTGTCCACTTGTGTTTGATAAGAATTTACAATATTCATAAGTATGTCAATTTAGTTAAGACTTGCGTCTTTATTTTTCTGTTTTATTTGTGCTTACTGTGTATTGTGAGACAGATGTTTGCAGTTTAATAATAAATTAAAATTGCAAACGTGTTGATGAAATATTTGGGTTTTGTTTTCATATCCTATTAAGTAGAAGTTACTGTAATACCATTAGTTATGATTCCTCACCTCATGGTGAAGTTAAGAACATTTTACTAAATCACATCAAGAGTTTCCGTTGAAATTGTGTTCGAGAGCATTTGGCGATAATTCATCGTCTCGGTAGCACGAAGGAAAGGTCAAGAACGCATTTAATGGCGAAAATGTTTTTGATGGATTTGAGTACCAAGTGATAGGCTTAAAAATGTTACCAAAATTAACACACCCATATTACGAATATTAGAGTTACAGAAGAAGAAAAAAGTTAATTTTTTTAGGACAGCTTGCGCTGTCAGAATTTAAATTTGAAATCATATTTTCAGTTTATTATCACTTATTCATTTATCATACACTTCTAAAACTTAGCAACTGTAGGAAGATAGCTCCCTGGTGGATTAGAGTCTAAATCTAAGGGCTTATACGCTAAAAATCGGGTTTCGATATTATCTGTGAGAAGAGCACAAATAGCTTATTGTTTAGATTTACGATTAACAACAAACAGAAAGAAGAAGTGACAGCGTGAAACTCTTGCGTAGCATCAGGAACAGAAATAGTTTTTTCACGTCAACCAAGCATCACGTTTGAACAATTAGTGAGATATTGGTGCGTTAAATTTAAAAACGACGAAAGGCAGTTTTCTATAAGAGAATTTTAAATTCGATAAGCTCTTTTGTTTTGCGTATAGATGATTAGTTTGAACTTGATGTGTCTAGATTTGTTAAACAACGAATCAATTTAAAGAGAGAAGCGATCGCAGCACCATCTATCTGATACAGAATATAAAACTAGTAATTGTGAGAATAATATACTTTGAAGGCTGTTTAGCAGGAAAAAGAGTAATTCGACGAAATTTGATAAATTTTTTTAAAAGATCAGCAGAGTTTTAAACAGTAGTAGGCGAAACATTTTGTTTAGGCTAAATTCAAATAAGAATTTGAAATACTTCGTTCAAAATATTTTCCGATGTCGCGTACGAAAAACGACATTCACGAGTCTTGGAGTACCTATCACAGTATTTTAATGGCAGTCAGTTATATCAGTTTAATTTGTAGAAGCTGATAACATTTCTAACATAAGTGGATTCACGTATCTTGATAACACGCAATGAGATTTTGTTGGTTATTGTAAGAAATGAGAATTGTTTTTCATTTCTTGAAGAAAAAAGCTAAGCACCAAAACAGCTCATTGTAGCCGTTATACAGGGTGTCCTAGAAATCTGGACGTATAAAGGAAGAATACACAGCTTATTCTTTATTGATTTATTTACTCAAATTGCATGCCATTAACAGCCATACACATATCAATTCATGCTATATTGTACCACCAGGGTATTTTCTTTCATGAATTATGTACATCCGACATTAGGAATGTGTTTGTTTAACTTTAAGAATATAATCTTCTCAATGGGTCCAGATTTGTGGACGCCTTCTACAGTAGAACAGTTCCGTCAAAAAGCTTGCTTGTAATAACTTTGAAAATGTCGGAAAAAAGCATATTTTTAGATTGTGAAACTAAAATACGTTTTTGTTTCTCAATAGCGATAACATAATAGTTGATTATTGGTTTTTGAAATAAAATATCCATTTTGATTCGGGTTTTTCGTGTTGACCAATGTTAAACTATCTTACTAATCACTTGAAAAACTAGCACCATAACGGCTGAATGTGGCATTTAAATAATTTTAGAATATTATTATTGTCTAGAATAATAGTGGTTTTAAACTTACCTTCACATCTAATTTCTAGATTTTCAGATAATTTACTAGCTTTAATGTTCTCACCGAATGTTAGAAGCTAGAATAATATCTGAGTTATTGTAGATGTTTAAACCACTTCAAGGATTCGTATTTTATACTTTTCCGAAATTTGTGTAAATCTAGCCGATAGTGTTTATATATATAATTGTTTGAAGTAGGATCATACTCTTTTCATGACAAAATTTAGTTGTTGCTGAATGCTTTTATCCCACGGGTATCTAACGGAATCAAAACAAGTCCGTCATTTAAGGGTTAAACATTTGAAAACGTTTTTATACGTAATTTCTCTCAATTTGGGCTGACAGTGCCGAACAAAAGAAATCGTCCTCCGCGTTTTGGGGTTGTGGGTGCGTTATAACAATGCATCTCGCTATTCAATTAGAGTAGTCAAAAGGTTAGTGGTGGGTGCTGTTGATTATGTGCCCTCTCTCTCTAGTCTTAGCCCGGCATGGCAAGGTGTTTAGGGCGCTTGACTCACAATCTGAGGGTCGAGGATTCGAATCCCCGTCCCACCAAACATGCTTGCTCTTTCAGCCGTGGGGGCGTTATAATGTGACGGTCTATCCCACTATTCGTTGGTAAAAAGAGTAACCCAAGAGTTGGTGATGATGATGACTAGCTGCCTTCTCTCTAATCTTTCACTGCTAAATTAGGGACGGCTAGCGCAGATAGCCCTCGTGCAGCTTTGCAAAAAATTCAAAACAAACAAACAAACCCTCTAGTCTTAGGTCAAAATAAGGAACGACTAGCGAAATCAAACTCCTTAATTTAATAGCCTAAGTAAAGCATCTTGCTCTTTCTGTCAAGAAAATTGTGGTAATTATATAGAGCTTCGATAAGCGAAACCCTTTGGATTTCCAGAAGAACACTGTGACAAAAATGGATGACTGTCTCAAAATTCAAGTGCATCGAACAAGCATACATATCCCTCCAGTTAGAAAGCAACGGGAAAAGAAAGACTGTGTTCTATCCCCCCATCTTTTCTCACAGCAAGTGGAAAAAGTGACAACTTACCAATTATAGAAACTCTCCGATGTGGTTTGACGACTTTACGTAAATGTAACGGAAGAAAAAAAAAGAGTACGAGGTCGGAATTTTGATGAAACTTAATGGTTATTAAGGTATGACTAATCCAATCGTATACAGCTGTTAGAGTCTAATCTGTTGAGCTATAAGGACATACAGAATCGATAAAATGCTATTAACGGGCATTAAATTTAGCGGAACATTAAAGAAGAAAATAACGACTAAAGGCCTATTTCGTAAAAGAAGATTGTTCTATACTCTAATGAAGCAACTGCAAATACAGAACCTCGGTATTTATTTTAATGTAAATTATATGTTTTATATATAATATCTGCAGTCTGGTTAATGAAATAGATACAAGGACCTATTTTGGCTCTAATGATTACCAGCTATTGTGATTTTACGAGTAATTGAGGCTAGAAATGTGTTGTTTGCTGAAAAAACTGAGCAGAAAATCTATAATTTATATGGGTAACGAGCCAACAAAAGCCTTTATTTTCACGGTACAAATAATTTCTTTGATCTGTTCCTTGGAAGTGGATTTGGGAGGCTTAGTGTTGGGATACTATTATTCAGCTTGTTGAGAGTTGAAGCTAAGAAGTAGAATTGTTTTTAAGGTACTGTTGTTTATGTTGTTGAGAATTGAAGATAAGTAGAAAGTGTCTGTTAGGATACTGTTATCTAGTTTATTGAGAGCTGGAGTGGAGAAGCAAACGATTGTTTTTAGGACACTGTTATCCAGTTTCTTCAGAGCTGGAGTGGAGAAGAAGATGGTTGTTTTTAGGATACTGTTATCAGTTTATTGAGAGCTGGAGTGAAGAAGTAGATGGTTGTTTTTGTCAGGATACTGTTATTTAGTTTATTGAGAGCTGAAGTGGAAAAGCAGATGGTTGTTTTTAGGACACTGTCATCCAGTTTATTGAGAGCTGAAGTGAAGAAGATGGTTGTTTTTAGGACACTGTTATCAGTTTATTGAGTGCTGAAGTGGATAATAAGATGGTTTTTTTGGTAGGACACTGTTATCCAGCTTATTGAGAGCTGGAGTGGAGAATAAGATGATTTCTTTTAGGACACTGTTATCCAGTTTATTGAGTGTTGAAGTGGAGAATAAGATTTTTTGTTAGGACACTGTTATCCAGTTTATTGAGAGCTGGAGTGGAGAATAAGATGATTTCTTTTAGGACACTGTTATCCAGTTTACTGAGTGTTGAAGTGGAGAAGTAGATGGCTGTTTTTTTTTAGGATATTGTTATCCAGTTTATTGAGAGTTGGAGTGAAGAAGCAGATGGTTTTTTGTTAAAATACTGTTAAGCACTCGTTATCACATTTTACATACACTTATTTTGACGTCGGTTCTAATCATCCCACTATGTACACACTGTTTTATTCTAACACTGTTTCTGATGATCAAACTAAGTATACACTGTTTTACATGAACACATATTTTTATAATCACAGTCTAAATATACTTATTTTAACGCCGATTCATCACACCAAGTACACTATTTTACACTTATTAAAATTACTTAATAAAATATTCTATACTGTGAAAATATAGTGATAAACACTTAAGAGCTCATGATCAGATTGACGAACAATATTTTTTTAGTAATCTTTGATCACAAACAGGGCTTAATAGAGCTCTTTTGTAGTACAGAATGAGTTCTGTTTGAGCTAAAACGCTTGTTTCAAAGATACGTTTGATGCTCTAAAATTTATGTAATAAATTCCCCCATGTCTGATGTGTTAGTTGGGTAGTGGGAAACGATATGGTATTTTATTATCCAAGTTAAATAAATACGCTATATTTCTCAATTCCTTATGAAAATATGTACATTAAAA